CACCCCTCCGATTAAGAGTCTCCAAAAGAAACAAAATCAACAACTGCAGAGACATTCATCTATAAGGATATATTTCTACACCAATCTACGAGACTCTGGTATTCTTACAAAACTATCTCGACTCAACGACCCTCAAAACCCACCAAACAACAACTCTACTTCTCCTCTCACCATGGCGCATTCACCCCAAAGCACTCTCACCACTCTCCACAAACTCCAGAAATCCCACGAACTAAGTATCATCAAACTTTCCGAACCAGTTTCCGTCCCTTTAAAATCTGGCTCTCGTACATCCAATGCCTCTGCCGCAGATACTCTTGAGAGTCCTTCCCCGGCGAGTTTAGAAGCCGATTTGGCGCATTACAAGGTATATTCTTCTTCTTCTGGCTTTCAATTCATTCCTTTTCTCTTCTTGTGTTGTATTTGGAGGAGCTCCAGCGCAGCGAGCTATGGGGGCTTGGGCTTGCCCCCATAAATTATTAGATTTTAATGACGCTCCGCTGGCCCTCCGGGGGCCACTGCCGTGGAGGCAGGATAATTGAAGATGCGAAAGCACAGCAGAGATATAGCCAGAGAAGCCATTTGCCATGGAGATATAATACTAGCCCCAAACACATACTAACAATTTCCAATAGGAACTCTTCTCCAAACTCCGCTTTTCATATCTCGAACAAGTCACCAAAGAAAAATTTATCCGTGCTATTGTCGGAGATCCTCCTCTAGTAGTTGAACATCAAGAAAATATCGATTTAGAAGCTTCTCTGCTTATTTCCAAAACCTCTCTCAAAGCCCAAAAAGTCGAAGTCGCAGAACTGGTTGAAGAATTGGAGAAAAGAGGGAGAGAATTGTGTAAGAAATATGAACACATTCAACTGCAAACGAAACAATTGGAGGAATTACCGAAGAAGATTGAGGGGTTAGAGGAAGGTATTAGGGTTTTGAAGGAAGAGAATGGATCGAGTGGTGAAGGGCTAGGAAATCTAAATCTTAAATTGGGGTTGGATAAAACGAGGGAATTGGTAGAGGAAAGAGAAAAGGAAAGAAGAGAATTGGATAGGCAGTTGGAACAGCTGCAAGTACTTGTTCCGAGAAAAACTAAAGAGGCGGAGAGGTTGAATGCGGAGTTGATACCACTAGAAGCAAAGAGGATGACGAGCGTAGCGGCTGCGAAAGAGGCGAAGAGGAGGAAGGAAGAGGGGGCTGGAGGCGCAGGAGATAATTTGGAGGAGAGAGGAAGATGGTGGAGAGGTGTGGAGGGAGGATTAAGAGGGATGTTGGGGTTGGGGGAGGAAGCGTAGGCTTGGAGATTATTTGTGTTCAAGGAGTTTCTGGAAGCCTGGATATTGGGAAAGGGAAAGGGAAATGGAATTTTAGTATAAGGAGTTTGTGGTTAGCTACTAGAACCAGGACTGGGTTCGCTTGACTTTGAAATATCCTTTTTATATATTGATATCTCGGCAAGGCGGTAGGTTGAGGAATATGTTAATTTTCATGATTTAGAAGTTAAATTTATGTCTATTTTATTTATATGTAAGACCTGAATTATCAATGGTTGTGAATGAGCGTATCCAAATTCTGACTTTGTATTTTTTGGACTATGCTTGTTTGTTTGTATGTATATATGTATATATGTATATATGTATGTGACACGAGGATAAGAGAGAGGTGTCTCATTAAAAGACTTTCTGGCTGGGTAGTTCGTGGTATAATGGGAGTCTGGAGAGAAAAGGATAAGATGTGAATCGAAGTACCATTTATTTTTGGACTTAAAGGGGAAATAGAGAAAAGGAGGGAGGGAGGTATGAGAATAGAAAGCCGGAGGAGGATGTGGGGGTGGAGTAAAGTTATGGGATTGGTAGGTTGGGAAATTGGGAGCTTGGGAGGAGGAGAAGGAGGAGGAGGAGAAAGATATGGATGCAGATTACTGTACAGGTTTAGGATAGAAGATAGGTTGAGATTTCTAGAGGAGTGGTTACTGGGAGTTTTAAATGGTGATCGGAAATCGTTTTTTCATGATATAATATGATACTTGGATACTTGGATATATGGAGAAATGGTAAGTGATGGAAAGATGAATATGGTGTATGTAACTTCTTCTCATGAATTATTCATACTCAACTCATCGATTTTGAAACTCCAGATCGTGGATTGGGAGATGGGTGTGGATGGAGGATGAGCAGATGATGATGTGTGTGTATGAATTTAGGGAATGGTTGTTCGTGAGATGTAGATGATGGAGATCAGATAATGAGATGTTCTGGTGTGATATTGATGTAATCTTCAAACCTGGGAATCGTGGATGGATAGAAAAGTGTGGTATGATCATGTACATCAAGACTCAAGCGGGATAGTTGTCGACGGGTAGAAGAGATGAAGAGATGAAGATCAGGTAATGTGAAGCTGCAGCCATCGATCAAAGCTTTAAGCATCGAGGTTCGGAAACTATTGAGGTTGTATTTCATAATTTTCATTCCGACGGAGAGAAAGGTAGTGCAATGGATGAAGTGATGAGAGTGTGAAATGAGATGGTTGCCGGTCTGGAGGAAGCGAGGATTGGAATGAACATGAGATCTAGTTGTATGCAATAACACCATTCGGAAAGTTACTGACTCTCGAATAGGCAAATCTCGAAATATTGAAGGCATGTTTTAAGCAGCAGAAGTAAAGAATTAAGGGAGACATGATGTGAAATAAAATCGTAATTGGTCGCTCAAAAGTTTATTTACGACTATTCTCATGCAAGAAGCCGCTCTGTCTATCGAGTATGCGAAATATCTCGGCTAGAAAGCATTTCATCTAAATTGGAAGACTACAATTTGAAACAAACTTTGATCACTCGACCTTATGTGATATGCAAATCAAAAAATCGATAGAGACATACGCAATGTACGCTTGAAATAACTATCTGCAATGCATGTGAACTGAAACCTTCAACGTAAACTGCAAACCACTTTACGTTGGCATATTTCTCAATTAAGGTATCAGACAATAGACGAACATCTTATCAAAGTAAGCAAGTCTTACTCCTCATACCCACTCGCATAGGATAGATGAGTAGTATTACCCCGGAAATTTCGACTCGGTATTGTCCGAAAGGCAATGATTGGAAATCTGGGGTATCACAAATACGATGGTTTCAGAAAACGTGCGGCATAGAGAGGCAGGCGTGTCTGAGCTGGGTATGCATTGATGTCAGATTGGGTATAAGAATGGATCCGACCTGGGAGCGAAAAAGTAAAAAAAAAACAAGGAGGAAGCTGGTTGTTGGGCTTGTGCATGATGGATGGAGAACAGATGACTTGTGATCAGCTGGGGGTTTGGACGTTAGATTCTCCACTGTGAAGTTATGTTCCACTCTATGCATTGAGGATTTGAATTACCTAGAAGATTTGGAAGAAGGGTTGGAACTTGGGAAAAAATGAGAAGAGATAGGTAGGTAGATAGTGAGCACTTGAGTGGGACATGGAGATTGGAGTATTGTTTGTACTTTGTAAAGTGATTGTACAGACGATAATGTCGAATGAAGCAAGTAAATCGCGCATTTGAAGATAGACATAAGGTTACGTGAAGAGAAAGTCCTCTGTTGTACTTCCACATGTAGTTCAATTTCTTGAATGTAGGTATCGATTACTAGGTAGTCGTCGGTAGGTGTGTTCTTCACGAAATGATGAGATGAAAACCCGTTATGCGTAGAGAATGATTAAACCTCGGATAACCCCCATTATTGGGTTGGGCAACATCAAGTACGGATGAGACGAAATAGGCAATTTTGTTAATATCGTAGCCTTCCTAACCCACAACCCACAACCCACAACCCACAACTCATAACTCACAAGACTTTCTTGGCCAACAAAGGCGTAAATATCGGGAAGCGCGCGTTATCTGCCAAATACTTGGGAGTTGGGACAAAGATGCACGGTGTAACCAAGATGATTGAATGCCTAGTAGATATGCCTCCCCTGCAAGTAGGATGCCAAATGGATGCAAGATGATATAGTGCCACTGTGTGAGGTGAGCTATACAAGGGTTTAATGGGAGGCTTGAAAAAGGAATGAGGCTTAAGATCTAAAGAGATCTTCGTATAAGCTCCGTTTGCTTTTTTTAACCCTGTACAGAATAGCTCCTAGACGATTGCATGTATGTGTGGCAACGTCGCTAACTCATCATTACCCACAACCCCATTATCATCTCCAACCATAAACATCAACATCACAACATTAACTCCAAGTTGAGTAGAAACCCCCATATATTCATCATCTACCTTGGAATTTGGTCATCGTGTACAGTATAACTGGAGTCAAGCCAACATGCGCACAACATTCGCACATCCTCAACCACTCAAAATCCTTTTCCCACTTTCTACACTCGAGCGGCGCTTATCTTTTACCTCTTTATCAGAATACCTAGAGAGTTTTGTCTTAGAATCCTTAACCTTACTACTCCACCGCCATTGTGTCTCCATCATTTTTACTATCGGTGGTCTCTGTGGCGCTCTATTTACCCCATATGACCTTTCTTTTAACAATCCAGGGTCCTCTTTTCTGCCACAACGTGATGTTTTCGACGGTAGTTGGTAGACTAATCATGTAGTGATCTTGTACTAATCTGGAATGAATCTTTAATGCTTGAGCTGAAGTTGTGATTTTGTCGTCATTGGTGAGTGTTGGATACCTGAGTAGATAGTAAGTAGTAAGTAGTAAGTAGTAAGTAGCAGGTAGTCGATAGTAAGTAGAAGATACTGGTAGTAAATGGTAGATGTAGATATTGATAACAAATAATAGATAGTAGTTATTAGATAGTAGTTATTAAACGATAAATAGTTAATAGTATCTAGTCCAAAATCAAAAAATCAAGCACTACACCGTCTAATTAAATAAAAATGAAGGGGTTAGAAAAATGATTAAACGATTAAACGATTAAACGATTTCTTGACCATCCAACCCCTCATCCCTCATCCTTACCATCTCATCTCATCCTTACTTACTATCAAGGTAACTAGGTCAAGTATAAAGTATATCTCTTATATTAATTTCTTCTCAGCTCTTTCCTTTTTCCCTTATCGCTTGTATCTTATTTGTACAAGTATATAGTTGCTTGAGAAATTCTCCGATTTCCCCAAAAGATCTTCATTTCTCATACTCGTATTATTATATATGCATGTGAGGATTGTCGGCTTTCTGACATTCTGACTCCCTCATTGCCCCTCCATACTTTATCTACCTACCTATCCGCACCTTTTTTACATCCTTCTTTATTATCCTATAAATCGAGATACCTATAGTCATCTCGGAGGGAGTGTTTGTTTTCACAATTCACTACAAATTAGTTTGGTCCGAGTACACCGACATCTTAGTGAATTCCAACCAGCCTCGTCATAAGGCTGGTGAAGCCCATTTGCCCCCAATTGTTTTCTTCCATCGACTCCTAAAAACCACCACATTCTGGATATGATATAGAGATCCTTCCTTCTCTATCAGTTACGATCATCAAAATGGGCGACGACTCACATGCCGAAATCTCTCCACGGGAAAGACCTTCTGAACCACACTCATTTTCCGCTCAAGATCATGCTGCGAATACTCCAAACCATGAAAAGGAAGATGGAGATTTGAATGACTCAGATGTACCTCGACCTTCGAAATGGAGCATGGGAATTTTGAATGTACCAGATACCCATGAAGTTCCTGGTAAGATTTCCAGACAGTCCCTCCGTTCGCAAAATATCTAACAAGCCTATTCTCCAGGTTCGATTCTCCTTCTCACAGGCAAACGAAATGAACCATTAGGTTTGCGAAATGCCCCAGCGAGAACTTCAACATCTACACTTCCACCTCAAACTCCATATGACAGAAGTCGTGCAGCTTCAACTCGGTCGGAAAAGAAATTGACAAAAGATGGGTCAACTGTTTTGGATCCGCAGCCAGAAGAATCGAGTAACGATCCTCTCAATTGGCCAATGTGGAGGAGAGATGCAGCATTACTTTCCCTCGGATTATATTGTATGTTGGGAGGTGGTATGACACCAATTTTGGCTGCCGGATTTACAAATGTTGCGAATACGTACGATGTTACAACCGCCGATGTTGCACTTACTACCGGATTGTATATGATGGGTCTTGGCGTTGGTTCAGTATTTGCTTCTCCAACAGCAATTTTGTACGGAAAACGCCCAGTTTATCTTGGTGGAGCAATTCTTTTCATCCTTTCTTGTATATGGTGCGCTCTTTCGCCATCATATATTTCCCTTCTGATTGCCAGAATCGTTCAAGGTATCGCACTTAGTCCAGTCGAATGTTTGCCATCTGCTACAATTGCAGAGATTTTCTTTCTACACGAACGTGCTTATCGAATCGGAATTTATACCTTATTACTACTTGGTGGAAAGAACTTGGTGCCACTCGTTAGTGCTGTCATTATTCAAACACTTGGTTGGAGATGGGTATTTTGGATTGTTACCATGATCGGTGGATTTTGTTGGATACTACTTTTCTTCTTTGTTCCAGAAACATTCTGGGATCGAACACCAAGAGCTAAAAGACCAAGATCGAGAAGTCACAGCAGAAAAGGGTCTAACATATCACAAATCATTCATACATTTGGAGGTCTCAGACATTCGTCATCTAGAGTACATGTTGCTGCAGCTCATCAACTGGATGGAATTGAGGCGGATCAACAACAACAAGCAGCCCGATCTCCACAAACCCAGCAAATGAGAACAGCTGAACCAACTCGAAGTATGCATGTTGGTTTTGTTCCAGATGACATGCATTCAGATTCAACTTCGACAAAAATTGATGAAGAAGATAAGGAAGAAGATAAAGATGTTATCATGAGACCTACAAGTCCTCGCACCAGACCTAGCCACTTGGACCGTGATGGTAAGATCTGATCTTCTCATTGAATTAAGGCATCAAACTAACAATATTTTGTAGTCCGTGTATCATTTGATCCTAGTACAACTCGACCAGCTACTCGTGATCACGAATCTGTACACCCAGAAGAATCTTCAACATCAGCAGGTGTAGCTACTTTACACAACTTCAATTCACCTTACTGTAGTAATGTCGAAAATACCGGAGGAAATTATGTCGATCGTGGTCGTCCAATCGAAAGAAAACCTTCAAGTGCAACTCTTCGAAATGCTGAGGAAGGACTTTCAGTTCGTGAACCGTCCCTTGGACCACAATATACGCGAGAACTTCGAGAAGCCCCCAAACAAACTTTTGTACAACAACTTAAAGTCTGGTATGGTCGTTTGAGCAAAGATAGATGGCTCATAGTAGCCTGTCGACCTTTCATTCTCTTTACATATCCGGCTGTCCTATGGTCTTCAATTGTTTATGCTTGTTCAATTGGTTGGCTTATCGTTCTATCCGAATCCGTCGCTGTTATCTATAGAGATAAACATACATATAATTTCTCCGCTTTATCAACTGGATTAGTATATCTCTCTCCTTTCATAGGTGGAGTACTAGGTACAGCGGTGGCGGGAAAAGTAAGCGATGTCATTGTCCGGGCTATGTCCAGAAGAAATGGAGGTCTCTACGAACCGGAATATAGACTTATAATGGCAGCTCCAGTCGCATTAACCACAGTTATTGGTTTGATGGGTTTCGGTTGGTCTGCTCAAATACATGATAATTGGATAGTTCCAACTATCTTCTTCGGAATCATATCTTTTGGTTGTTCATTAGGTTCGACAACGGCGATTACGTTCTGTGTGGATTCTTACAGACAGTATGCTGGTGAAGCATTGGTGACATTGAACTTTTCGAAGAACATCTTTCACGGATTGGTTTTTTCATTGTTCTTTACAGAGTGGTTGGAGAGGGATAGAAGTAAGAAAGTATTTATTTGGTTGGGGGTCATCCAATTGGTTTTAATGGCTGCAAGTGTACCGATGTATATCTTTGGAAAGAGAGCGAGAATGTGGACAGTTAGGAAGAACTACATTGAAAGGTTTGGGGCGAGGTGGGGGAAATAGATTTGAGAAATCATGGCCTCAAGTGTTTGGATGTTCATTCAGGTCGGGGATTGGACAATGAAGGATGAATTATGGGAAACATGAGTAGATTACCAGAATATCTTTTTTATTTTCAGTTGGTTTAGCGATGGTGTTTGGTCTCGGTCTCTTTTACATATATCATGGATGAGGAGTTTATGTTTTTACGAGAGGTTGTACAGAGATTAAAAGGACTCTGGTACACCGGTATACATACATATTTGTTTGGAAGTTTTGTTTTGATACCAATGGTTCCGCGTTGGCAGTTTAAGATGGACGGGATACAATGGGATGCAACGGGGGTCAGAGAGCAGGGCAAATTGTGATGACGAATTGGAATAGGAGGGACTTTGCGATGATACCATGGATTATTATGAGGACGAGGGATTGGGAATGGAATGAAACTACTCGAATGAGATACCTGAATTGAAGACATGAAGAGATGGATAGAATAGAACAGAATAGAATGGAATAATTTCTCCTAAGTATCTGGTTTTTTCAATGAGTAGCTTTTATGGGATTAGTGTGTAAGTGAAAGGCGTTGTTGGCATTAGGTGGAGATTAGGATGAGGATTGGAAGGAGATTTGGAAGGAGATTAAGATTGAAGTTAAGATTGAAGTTAAGATTGAAGTTAAGATTGAAGTTAAGATTGAAGTGGATATTATAGTTAAAGCAGAGATATAGTTTGTGAGACGAGATGGGCTGGACAAGGAATCTAGATCTAGGAATCTGGGATGTGGATAGTGGGTGGTGGGATAGGGATGTGAAAGGGGATGTGGATATGATTGGGGATGTGAATGGGGATGTGCATGTGTATTATGGATGGAATGGAGATGGGGATATGGGATATAGAATATGGATATAAATATGGGGTTTAGAGTTGGGGTGTAGGATATGGGATATGGGATGTGTAGATAGATATAGGGTTTGGAATTGGGGTGGGAGGAAAGGAGGGGGAATAAGAATAGTGAGAATAATGAGGAGGAAATAGATTATAGGGAATAGGGGATGGGGAAGGGGGAAAGATAAATTCTATAGAATGGGATGGGGGATAGAGGGGTGGGTATGGGGTATATGGGATGAAGTTCGTGGTAATGAAATGCTGGATAGTGCATGCTAGATAGGGGGTGGGTGTGGGGGGCGTGGATGAGAGAGTGAACTAAGAGAGTGAATGGAAGGTGGTGAAAAGAGTGTAGTGAAAAGAGAATAAGAGAATAAGGCAATGAAGGTGCAGAAGGAGGTCATTTGAAAGATTCGATGAAGGTTAGTACATAATTAAACAGTGGAACTAAGGTGGGATTCAGATGACCTTGTATATATTTGTCTATAGATATAATGGGTACTGGCGTATAGTTAAGTTCAGTCGAGCTAGAACAAACTACAATAAGAAAGAACAAAACACAAGGAGTAGTTTCGCGCTGTCTCTTGATATTCTATAAAATCCTACGGGTAGTTTGATTTTTCTATACACTTCAATCATCGATTATATCATCTATTCTTATTATCTTACCCTCCTCTCAATATCTCATTTTAACGATAACAATAGCATATTTCGACGGCGGTGATATGGTGAGAATCAATCTCATCTCATCCTATCTCATCTTCTAGAAGACTGTCGAAATTTGAGAGTGGAATGGAAGAATGCTTAGGAGGTGTTACATTGATGACACATACCTCTACTCTAATAATGGAATCCAGAAACGATATTCTTCCGCATTTGAATTTGGTTGAGGGAGAGATTTGTGAGGGTGCAGACAGGCGGGCATAAAATCAGCGGTCTGCATGCTCCGAGGAAGTGGTTTGGAAGGAAGAAGGGAAAAGGGTGGGGGGGTTGCATATCTGGATATGAATTGGATATGGAGTGGGAATGGATTGGGAGGAGTAAGAAAAGAGGGGGTAGGTACTAGATAGAAGATGGAGGTATAGAGTGCATGGAGTGTATGGAGTGAATAAATGAGCGGGAAGATGAGTGAATACCCGAACTAGAAAATTCTCTCCAACATCAATTTCACAGGAGTAGTTCCATGATCTTCTTTTTAATCATGCGAAATCTAGAGTTGGAAGGTTATTAATGGCTGAAAGGGTGACGAAATCAATCATGAGAGAGCTGCGTTACTTCTGAAAACGAAGAAATTCATGGATCATGGAAAGATGAATAAATGTTTTGCTGGTGTTTGAGAGTGGGAGGAAGATAATAAGATTGAAGGGGAGTAGTGGACGTGAGTTGTTCGGTTGTTGTTATTGTTATTGTCTTGGAGCTACCGGCTGTTTGTTGAGATGTTTGATCATAATGATAATATGGATATATTGTCGAATTCTTCATACAATGAAGAATGTGTGAATACAGATAATTTAACAGGAAACTATAATCATAATCCTATCTTATTGATTATTAAAACATCTATCCATTGAAGCCTGTACCTATCTAAAGCGTTCTTATCTTCAGAACAAACACTAAAAGGCTGCCCGTTGGTCGGTCTAAAATGCTTGGAGAGGTGATTGTCTAGAGAAGAAGAAGCTTATATACATATCTTGGTAGGTATCTATGGGATGGAGGTTTCAGAATGAGGGATATATGGATGAGAAGATTCATGGTACCAAGGAGTGGTGGTGAATGAGTAATATAGGTATAGTGACGTAAAGGATGGGTGAATTTCCAAATCCGAGGAGTTGCGAGAGAAAGATGAGGGCTTGAGGGGAAAGAGATCGGGAATGGTAGATTGATATTCACCCTGGCTTGAATCCTCGATTGCGATTGTGATTGTATGAAACACCCATCAACTTCCGATCCTTAAATTAGAAAGAGGAAAATATTGCTGATATTGAATCAACGAGTGAATGAAATCTGAAGATTGGAACTGTACATGCATTGTAGTTGGAGAAAGGAGGTTGAGGGAAACAAGGAGGGTTTGTCTATTCTATTTTTCTTCTTCGATTGATGGTACTTTGCTCGAGTGAGTCTTTGGCTTGGAATATCCGGTCCGGGGGTTAGAAATGGAAATCATTCATCGCTTAGCGCCCCCCTTTCCCTTCCTCGCGCTTCCGGAATCACAATTATAGAATGAATACCTACAGATTGGAATTTAATTATACTTGGGAACGTGTATCAACCACCTATGATAGGGAATTCGAAATATGCGTGAGGGATTAAACAATGATATTCCTTGACACTGATCATTCTGGAGGGTGTGGAGAAGTGTAAAGGGGTTTTGTTATTTTAGAGATGGAGATTGAGCTGAGAGGAGGCGAGGTACGAGAATATATATATATCGAGGAAGACCAAGAGATATGGATAGTGGTAGAATGAGACGAATATGCGAAACAAGAAAGCGATGAATGATATAAAGGTAAAGTTGTAGGCAAAATCAGTCCACAATCAAAGCTCGAAGCTACAATCACACATCAATTAAATGTTCTTGGAAGACAGAGGATGTAGTGCCCAGAAATTCACATTTTTAAGAAATAAGAACGAGAGATTTTTGATTTTCACAACCAAAAATGGCGGAGTTGGAGAGAGGCTCGTAACTTTTTATCGTCTCATCTCGACTCAGTAAAGTTCCCGCTGTCGTATACTCGTGAGTTGGAAATATACAGCAAAAATCGACTTTTCGCTTACATTCCAAATTCCAGATTTGAGATACTGACAACCAAAACCAGATGCACACTTCAATTGTTCGATATCAATCAGAGGTTCAGACTTGGTATGCGATGAAAGATTAGTTAAAGAGCAAGATCTTGGTGTCAATGGGGAAAGAGAACCTTGACATATACCAACTTAAGCGTTCCTGTGTGTCTTGAGAAGATGAAAGATAGGAAGAGGGAGGGAGTTTATGTATGTGGGAGGGAGTGGAAAGGTGGAGAAATTGGGTGGAGTAGGAGTAAGAGTAAGAATCAAATATTGGGAATGAATGGTGAGAAAATGAGATTGAGATAGCAAAGGAGATAATAAGGTGCGAAGAGGGACTGGAAGGATAGGTGAATTCTACAGTTGGGAATAGAGAGAAACCGGAGAGAGGAAAAGGAAGGAGTGAGAGGAAATTAGGTTATTTACTCGGTGTTGGAGAATCTTTTGAGAAATGCAGTATTTAAGAGTGCAATTTATGGAAAGCAGATCATCAGCCAACTCCAGAGAGGCAACAAAAGTGAACAAGGGAAGAAATTGAGGCGTGTAGAAAGCTTGAATTATAGGGAATGCATATAGAGAAAGGATGGTTGGCCAGGGGGTAATTTTCGTTACTCGCATTACGCTCAAATTTCGTCTCAAAATCTATGTCCAGAGGATCGACAATATAAATGTTATTGTCGTCGTTTTTCTGAAATACCTGACAGTATAAACACTAGAGATACAGCTTTACACGCAAATATTCACACTTCAACGCATAGAAAACTTGCGTCTAAAAGTCTCAAGTGGGAATTCGTTAGATTTGCACTACTGATCAGGGATTGAGATCTGATACCACAATGTCGCTCAGGTTTTGATAGTAGTTGTGATTCTAGCTTTGTGTAAGAAAACAAGAGAGATGAGGAGCTTCTTATATAAATAGGTAACAGGTAAAAAAAGAAGTAGAGATATGAGATACGAGGGAGACAGGAGTTGCGCAGTAGAGAGATTGAAGAATTGGTGAATGTTGAGCTTGGAGAGACATCAACCGAACCCCCCCCCCCCCCATTCACCATCGTATTCAATTTTCATAGCAAGAGGTGAGATGCATTAAAGCAACCCCTAGAGTTTGGAGTTCTACTATATAAGAGGAGTTCCAAGTGAGATATTAACCCACATCAGAAACGCCTGGGAAACAGCCATTCAAGCTTGCAGGAGCAGAGGTTTCTTGTTAACTTCCCTGGATATGGATTTAATTCAGAGATGGGAAGCAGAAAAATGAAGACTTTGGGATGAGTTTCGTTGGGAAGTGATGATGAGGTATGATTGTTGTCTTCTGCTCTTATTACCATCACTAAGTATCTTGTGAACTAATAGATCAGATATATTGTTGGAAGATCTTGTAAGATAACATTTTTAAATTAAATACAAATTAGAAGAGTTTAGATAGAATGAACTCACCGACAACGTTCAAGTGACTGGAACATTTCCAAAACTTTGCAACCCATTACCTAAATTGCACGAAATCGCTTTCGTGCTGATTGTATCTGCGATGACCAGGTTGATTGTCGTAGCGCTTTTAAAGACAAAAATGGGAGATTTCATGGAGTGCTGGAAAGGGAAGCAGAGACAGTACGAGCAGGGTTATCAATTGGGAGTGAATGAATACCGACATGATTAGACACATGAACAAGAGCTGACTAGAAGTCTGCCTCTGGTCTCCTCACTCTTGATATCGCTAGTGAATTCAATCCCGCTCTTCCGCAAATGCATTCTCACACTCAGCATACACCAGTTTCAGAAGTACGAGTACCATGAAAATCTGCTCCGTGAAACTTTACGATTTACTGAACGGTGATTTCAGTGCTGGGATTTTGAAGTGACAAAGTGAATCAGACTATTGGGCTTGGAAAATATAGATGGGCTATTTTAAAAGGTTCGAGTTTCGGAGTTTTGAAATCATCAAAGGTTGTAGTTCCGACCTAACAGACGCGCAGATGAGGGGAGAGCGTTTCTCTTCGAGAAGGGTTTCAAGGAAGCAATTTCGCTGGAAATTTATGTAAATATTCTAGATGTGTTAGGGTAGAGATTCGAGAGTAATAGCAAGAACCGAATATATTTTCATTGTTGATTATAGTATCGTTACTGTCAAGAATGAAAATGATGACATTCATCCTGACAGTGCAACAATACCATCACAAACCAACGAAATGCGCCTCACACCGGAGATAATTTCCCCAATTCTTGATTGAAAATGATATCAACGTACAAAGTCTTTGCGGAGATGGCCACTTCTTCTCCTGGCACATCAAATCTCCCCTTCGAAAACATGACCTGAATGAATGAACAACCACTGTGCTGTTCTTTTATCGACACTTATTCAAGAACTATAGCGGGTGTAATTCACTGCTAGGTGGAAATAGAGTACATAATATTCGTAAATTCACAAGCAAAATATATGAGAAATCGGTAGTGAATCACATACCGTCCAAACCAATGACCACCCAACTGTTTTTCCGCCTTCCCGCCTTCACAAATAACTAGAACTTCCCCTGGTGATATTTGTCTAAAATTATCACTTTCGACTATCAAACATCTGCCGTCCCTCTCATCTCCATGTTCGAAAAATGTATTCTAGCGAGAATGAGATATCACCCATTTGGTAGCCGGAATGACCTCAGAACTTTCTGCTTAAGGTCTATCACATCATCTCGACACAAAATACAGACACCTGACCTTACGTCTTTAGAAAGCTCCCAGTAGGGATGCAAGTCAAGTACATAGATGGCACTGGCCTATAGTATGCTATGACAAAAATTATTCTGTGGAAGCAAGTGAGTGAGAAAGCACCAGTCGACATGTTTAGACTCAGCTGTATGGTTTTTCGCATTTGGGATTGGTCCGGGGAAGCGATTATCGCTGCCCTTATATGAAAAGGAGTCACTAAGTAGGTACTGAGAGAGAGATAAGCCTTTTTGAATAGTCCATTGATTTTCCTCCGCAATATTTCATCAGCTAAACATCATATGCATCTATGCCTCCCTAGCATCAAATTCCCACGTGCGCCTTTCTTATTATTCGCAAAGCTAAAATCCGTAACCTAATTGCATTCGCTGAAACTTGCGTATCATAGATATCATCCTTGTAAAGAGTCCTTGAGTAGAGTGGGTATATTATCCGCAAACGCTGAAATGCAATAACTTATTCATCCTTGACCATTAATCCGTCTGGAATACTGGATCTTTGAGCGAACTCACTGTTGAGGTTAGTGTCATTAATGAATTAGAAAGAGACATGGGAATACTCACGTCCAACTTCCATCATATACTTTTCGTACACCCGACTCTCCATATGCTTCTGCCAGTGCAGCATCGATAATGGTAGCTGTAACACCTGTACCACAGCTGCTGACGATAGGCTTTGTCGGATCAACACCCTTGCTCTCGAATATCTTCCTCAATTGGTCCGCGGGTAACAAAGTCTTGGTAGTGGGATCCAATAGTTCTCCCATGGGCAAACTGATACTACCCTTCATATGACCACTGGTCAAACCTTCTCTAGGCTCGGGATCCTTTCCCGTCCACCTTCCGTAACTTCTCGCATCCAGTATTTGCACACCTTCCGCACCTTCCTTACCAGTATCTTTGATGATTTCAGTAACCTCCTCGAAATCCGCGACTTTACTTTCATCCAGTTGTGGAATCGGATATGCGCAAGTATCAACATCCCAGAATTCCCCACTTTCAGTTGGATACCCCTCTTCCACCCACAATTTGAAATTATTCAAAACATGTACACTTGGATGTCCGAAAACCTTTAATGTCCATCCTACTCTCGGCGCACTAAATAAACCTTGCTCATGAGAATCATACACAACAACAGTATCATCTCTGCGGATTCCCAACGCGCTCATGGCAGATGCGAAAGTTTTCGCATCGGGAAGCATATGAGGATAAGGAGAACGTTTGTCGCATACTTTATCGAGATCAAAGAAACGACTCGAGGGAATTCGCTTTTCGCGGAAGGTTTGGAGACCATTGAGAGGAGAGGTAGGGAGGAACCATGTTGAGCAAAGGGCGACGGTGCGGGGAGATGTGGAGATCTTGGAGGGGGGATTCTTTTTAAGAGCTTCGGATAATTCGGAGGGAGTGACAAGATATGATGAGAATGATCGATGGGAAATCATGGCGATGTATCTAGAAAATGTAGAAGTGAGAGGTTGTCGTGAGAAAGAGCTCAAAGTTGGAGCTCGTCGATAAAGCACAGATGCTGCCATTATGGCAGATATGATGTTATCGCAGATTAGTAAGAATCTACTATTGACTTGAGCAAGCTTTAAAAAGTTTATATTCAAAGCTGGAGTTTAGAGATGCTTGAAGTATTTAAAACTTGAAATCTGAACAATGTGCTTTCAAATTATTAACAAAGATTGGAATATATGTGTGTTGGAGTCTTTCCTTGGTTTGTAGTTGTTTGGTTGTTGGAGATTATTGTGGTGTAACCTTATCAACCGCCCAGAAGCTTATCAGAGCTTCAAAACCCTTAACACGTGATATGACCGCTCGCCGTTGCTCCCCCGCATTATTTGTTGATTTGAATCAATCTATCGCGCCCACGACCTTCAATGTTCACAACGTTCAAAGTTGCTTTTATACCGATACTCGAGCTCCGCAAATAGTCGCGGAACCAGCGCCAAATACTAAGAATATGAAAGTAAAGATCAGAACATGGAATGCGGTTGCAACTTGGAGGTGGGATCTTGACGAAGACGACGTCTGTGGTATTTGTCAGGTACATTTCGATGGGACATGTCCTACGTGCAAATACCCCGGAGACGATTGCAGTTTATGTATGCCACTTAAATTCCTTACGCTTGAATGGCGCAATTAATTAGTCCAAATAGTATCAGGGAAGTGCGGGCACAATTTCCATATGGTCAGTTACGGATTCCATTGACTGACGGAACATATGTTGACAACGATTCAGCATTGTATAGTAGAATGGATCAAACAAGATTCATCTAAAGGGCAATGCCCTATGTGCAGACAAAGTAAGGTTCTTTTGGAAATGATGAGATTATCGCAGAATGTTGATTCATTGTGCAGAATTCGAATGGACCGACAATACAACTGCGCCGGAGCCAGTACAACCTTCATGATCAAACAGTTGCCCACCGAAGAGTACGAGCACACGGCGTTCGACATACTACCATCGAGGTCGAGGAGTTATCTTATTTTACATGGCGTTGTTAATGGGGACAAGGCAGCAAGTCGGGCAGGCGTTGGACGATTATTGATACCCTCGGCTTATGTACAAAAATGTATGATTATTTTTATTGCAACTTGTGGAGGGCTACATCGAAACTGGATGAAGAATTGGCACATAGAATACAATCGATCATAGCAATCTTCGTTTTCGTCATAGTCCCACGAATCAGTTGCTCGACTTTCTTGTATCACCCAGCACAATCCTGCAGCACTTTCCTCTTTTCACTCAAATAACCACTCTAACTTACCATTTGATCGTCCCAGTCAACGCGGATCTATATTGAAAGCTCAATCATACTTGGGGAAAAAATCACCTAAAGTCTAAATCCAGTTTTCTCCACCCTTTTTGGGATTTCGAAAATATCTTGAGTTGAGCGAACCCTCAAAGATTCGTGAGAGCTTATATTAGTGGCATTCTACCTTATTTCTATTCCAATGGATACGCTCTTCCTTCAGCCAATATTACTCTCCTGGTCACTCACAATTTCTCAAATGGCAAGAGGTGACGATATCGTTGCCTTGGGCCACAGGAGTGCTAAAACCAAATTGTTCTAGCAGCAGTGACATCAACTATTTATTGTATATATGATCTAGAACGGGTTTCTATGTCACATACGACCATAGACTGAGGAGAATTGGGCATCCCGTCCGCTCTGCCATACACAAGCCTCAGATCGGCAGATTAGTAGTTGGGTGGGTGACCACCAGCGAATCCCTGCTGTTGTATGTTTTTGCTATTTTTTTGTTTTAAACTTCCAAATCATTCAATCAATACATAGTGTTTTGTAGTTTCAAATTTGGTTGAAGAAGTTTATGTTGTGCTCCATTGCATGCTTTTTGTGGGAGTTCACATTCGGTTGCATTTTAACAGCTTTGATACTGGGTAAAAGCAAAAGTGTTGAGCTTATTGTCTCCCGCTGTCATATGAAATGCCAGTGTTGCATACGCTATGGCCATGATACCTCTGCCTCTATTTCGCCTTGTTTATTTTTTCTTTCTTGGTTTTCTAATTTTCTTCCTTATTGTTTTGACTCTCGCAGCTTGCAGTTCCTATAAAGAAGCAAGCTATGGAGCCTCTAGCAATAATTTATTTAGTTTTAATCCACAAGACTACTTCTTCCATCGCTTTGGCCTTGAGTTCCATATACCTTCGTGTAAGGGTGTGCAATTCAGACCCAGAATCCAAATGTTTGCAAAGAATCACACGTAATGCCCTCCTGTTGTATTCTGTCTTTCACACCATGATTTTGGACTTCGAGGTATACTGAATTCTGCAGCTAATGCTAGACATCGACCCCGTTCTTGCTACTGATTATCGATCACTGGTAGACGATTTGATTGGCGATTAAGCCATGTTCACCGCCGTATGGAGAGCTTCGTATATTCTTGCACAAATACCTCAAAACTGACAACCAATTGTGTCCTTCAATTGAGGCAGTGTTGGTCTTCAAGATTTACGCGTGCGGTGAAAATGCGGTGTAGCTCCTGCAGCAATGTCTTGGTAGTCTCGTTCCGTAAGAGACATGCAAGTAAGTTCTAGGGACATATAATATGATGATCTCCTTCACAGCTATTTGCAGTATGATTTTATAAGCAAGTGTTTTCTTTCAACACCATAAAGTTTATACATAATCACAAAATTTCATTCCGTGGACTTTTTTAGACACTGGAAATTCTGAATTTCGTCCTCAAGTTACCATGCACCATTTATCCTTCCACTTTGTTTCTTCCCTGATATGTCTAGCTCCTTGGAATGTGCTGTCCGCTCCAACATATCAATATCATCGTGAACCTCAAGCTAATGAGGCCTTTGCTTCAAGGGACTACTTTTATGTTGGTGGTGAATATGTCACTAGTACGACCAATAATACGTTGTTTATGAACCAGATGTATGTGGAACATCTCGTTCCAAGTCGAATTGAACAACCCTATCCTATTGTATTTATCCATGGTCAAAGCATGACTGGTACCGTAAGTGTCCTTCCTTCAACTTCATAAATTACATGCGCACACACTAAAAAGCCATCTGAAATAGAATTGGCTCAACAAACCCGACGGATCACCAGGATGGGCAAGCTATTTCTTATCCCATGGCTATGAGATATACATCATAGACCAACCTGCGAGAGGTAGAAGCGCGTGGAATCCAAACGGTAATACAACATTGGTGACTTATACTGCGGAGATAACAATGCAGAGGTTCACGGCGACGGAGAGATATAACATGTGGCCTCAAGCAGCGTTGCATACTCAGTGGCCTGGTGTATGTTGCTTCTTCTTGTACCACTGTTCTTAACCTATCTAACACTGGATCTCTGGGCGAGCGGAACTGCTAATCAAATTTTTTGAGAGAAATAGAATGGCTCAATAGGGGACCCCATCTTCGACGCTTTCTATACATCTACCGTCCAATTTCAATCTGACACAGTAGTTCAAGAGATCAACACGCAAAAGGCGGGAGCGGCGCTCCTCAATCGCATAGGCCCTGCAGTTCTACTGAGTCACTCGCAAGGTGGTCTTATGCCCTGGGTTATTGCAGACAAAGTTCCAGAATTGGTGAAAGCCATCGTAGCGATCGAACCGACTGGTCCTCCATTCCAAGATGTACTCTTCCCTCCAACGACACCAGAAGGTTTTACCAGAAACTATGGAATTACAGATATTTCATTGCAGTATGAACCGGATTTCGGAACTGGAGAAGTATTAGAGAAAACTCTAGTCACAAACCAAAAAGCTGAAGATAACGAGTTAAAAGAATGTTGGTTACAAAGAGAGCCAGCGAGACAGCTCAAAAATCTCAAGGGAATTAAAGTCTTGGTGGAATCGGCAGAGGCGAGCTTTCATAGGGTTTACGACGGATGTACGGTGGAATATCTAAAGCAAGCGGGCGTGGAGGTGCAGTGGATGAAGCTAGGTGATGAGAAGGATCCCCGAGTGGCTGAAATACATGGGAATGGTCATATGCAGTTTATGGAGAAAAATAGTGATATTATTGCTGGAGTGTTGGATGAATGGATAAGAGAAGCTGTTGGAGAAAATTAAGGCGTATCGGGAAGTTCCAATCTACATTCTCCAGGGTGTATCGATATTCTCGCAACCCCTCGTTGTCCGATTTCTCCAAGGCCGGGAACCCCCGAATGCTAGATAGCATAATATTATCATTCTTTCCTTGGTTTTAAGAGCTTCGAGGTCAGTATTTACGATTCATATCCTCCCATTCCAGTGCTTTGCAAAAGAGAATAAATTTCCTCGTTGCGAAATTTCAGATGGGTTGGTTTCCATCTTATCCCACCCCCACATCACTAGCCACATAACACGCGAATCAAAATCGTAGTGAGATGAGCTACTTCACAAAACTTGGCATCGGCTTTTGGATCCAGCGCGACTTTAGTCTTGTTCGATCTCCTCCAAGTTTGGTTTTCGTACAATCGTGTTGAGGCCTTCGAAATCGGGGATAGCCGAATCAAAGTTCTTGTCATGGAATAGGAGAGAAGCGAGGGCCTTCCAGATTTGAGGAATATGAATTGTAGTGGTGATACTTATTTTCAGTTGGTTCGGATCAAGCAAACTCTCGTCTTTACATACCCAGTACCTATCGAACTTGCTCAAAAGCCGGATTTTCTAGTGCAGCTGGCTGCTTGCTGCAGGACAGATACGGGTCGCGATGTAGAATTGCATTTGATGATCTCCTTGGCACTTTGGATATCATACTTCCCCACATTTTGGCTCTCTTTAAGGTTGATTTGACGTCTTGGGAAAGTTAATTAAGGTGTTATTTCTTGGAATTTAGAGTATCGAAGTCATCGATGGTTTTTGTAAAGAGCGATTGAGTGAGAGTTTGACGAGTTTATTCAATTTAAACCAATCCAATTCATCGAGATGGGGTTGTATTGTCTGTTTGAGTATAGATATTGTCCGCTCAGAAAGAAGGAAATGGAAGCTTATGTATAAACTTTTAACTATTATATTACTCTTTTGGGGAATTCTGAATAGTAAACGGGAATATGTGTAGGTATCTATGTATTTCGTAATTTCCCCTTTTTGATCGGAGAAGAACATAGATTGTTTGGCGACAATAGTGTGGAGAGATTTCAAATCCTCAGACTTCGAATTCGTACAACACTTGCTGAGAAACTCGGTAGGTAGGTCCTCGGCTCTTCAAGAATTCCTAACAATATTCTCAAGTGTAAACGCTAAGCTTTGTCGGTCTTGATCGGTTTGGTTGGTTGGGCTTTGAGACTACGTGTTTGTTTTGTAGTCGTAAAGTGAGGCTATAAAGACCTTCAATCCTTCATGGGATTTTCTCTTTTCAAATTCTCAAAGACGGTGGTCAGATGATTCGAGATTCTGGAATTGCTTTTACGATTTCTTTGTATTTCCAAATCTGGAGTTTATTTAAAAAATTTAGGTTGCAGATATCTAAAACAGGCTCTTCAGACTATATTCCCTTATTCTTACCTTTCATCCAACTCCACCAGGGAAATGAGAAGGCGGTTGGAAATCTGTCGCCTGTTGTGAACTTATATCCTCATAGAGCCATGGGCACAATCTCAAGCCAAGCAAGATCTCCGGAAACTATCACGACGCTAGCTATCATAACCTGTCCTGTTAGCAGGGAGTCTCATAGATTTGCTTATTTCCACAGAACCACATTATAGAGCACGAGAATGATATATTACTATTCTCAGGTTTAATCTTCGGTGTTGAAATGTGCTTAAACTTTGACATCTGTATGTATTGGGTTTACTGTCGTGGATGTGAATGCCAAAGTGATGATGACGATGGAGAAATCTCCCTATTTGTGGAATTAATCGCGAGGCAACTTCATTCATTGAAGTCTTGCATATTGTGATGAGTCGAGAACATTGAAGACGATGTGAATGTCTACGCCACGATAATATGATAGGATGTGAAATGACCATTCCCATGCTCAATCAACAGCCTCTGTACTATCTCCAGCCACTGAAAGCTTGTGTATCTTGGCGAGGACAGTTGAATACGCCGTCGTGAGTTCAAATTCGACGACGAGGATCAATATCTCCACGGACATTCCTTCTGCACTATGGCGCACGTGTGCAGTAGTCGACATGACATTGGCCTTTTGAGCAAAAGCTTGGTATGGTGGTGTATGCACGTATGACGCATATGATCAGTGAAAAAACAGTAGAACCATGGCAGCTCTACTCCCTTCCACCGGTGTGGCGGGAATAATTCTCCAAACCAGTGGACTTCTTACCTTATAAACTATTTTAGTTAAGTTTCTCCATCAAATTGACTTTTATTGCTGCTTGAGTATGATTCTCATTTCCTGATGAAAAACTCCCTATGAAGTCGAATACTCTGTAAATTGTAAATTCGTCATCCTATCTCGATCAAATACTTCATATGAGTTGACAAAATATTCAGCCATTGAGATACTTGCCTTCTCCTCTTTTCTCCAGTAGAATATGAAGAGTTCCTCTCATCGACAAGTTTTACTTCGAATCGTTTTAAGGTTTATGCCTTACTGCACGTCATTCGAGACTACGGAGTATTTGTGATCAGATCCCGTACTTACACGCTCTATTATTAGACGGATTTGCCACTTTTATGTCACTAGAAGCAAGTTTCGAATAATCCATTTCCGATTTAGCAAGAAGATTGCTCTGGAACAAGTAATGACTGTTGGCTTTTTTAATCATCGCGGTGCTCTCCAAGTAGTCTAGTGCTGTACTTCACAACTACGGCCCATGAGAGGAAGTAGTCTTGAGAACTGTTTATTTTCGTCGGTAGAAATGGCCATTGAGCAGGTTCCTCTTGACATCTAAGTTACCAGGTATATTGGGTAGAAATTATGTAGAAAGCATTGACTTCAATAAGATCATTGATATTTTTCCTTAGAGTCAACTGACTCTCTAAGTTTTTACAGAAGGTCATCATTGCAACGCAATGTGATAGTTGATCACTGATTTTATGTCAATATTGATTGACTATCAACAATCAGCTCTTCGTATTCTTTGCTTAAGAATGAGGGGTTCGTATTCAGACTTTGGTTTTTGGATTCTTGGCTTATGAACAGTAAGGCTTATCTCAAAGTTTGATGGAAGGTTTTATGGAAGAAGAGCAATTATTGATTATGTGGAGAATTATTCCACCACTAAGCAGTGAAGTGTCTAGTACATCTAGTCAATGCGAGCTCTAAGTGTAGAAAAGTAGAGCTAGCTCTGTAGACTACATATCAGAAGACTAGCGCTCAGCAATACACCATTAATATCTACAAATTTCCTTTCTATATTCAGAGGAAGACTTACAGTTTCATCGGCGCTCAAGCACAGCACTAGTGCTCATACCAAATCGCCATCACTCAAATCTAGAATCTTCTGAAGCTTTCCATGTATGTCACTAAGATACGATTCCAGATCAGAGGGGTTTGAGCTCGCCAATCATGAGGCCTTCTCGGGCTCTTCGAAACTTCTGTTGCTTGTCTGAAGTATGCACTTTTGGTAACTTCATGAATTAGTGTCTTCAGTAAGGGAGTAATGTTTTATATGTACAAAAACTTGTAGATTGATACTATTGCATGAAATTCAAACGGTTGCATCACCATCAACAATTTTATTAGTGTTTGTGGTATGACTGAATGATTGCACGGCCAAGGTCCAACTGACTCCCACCCGGTATAGTTTTGAATTTCTCATCAATTTACATAAATCTATCTTGATTAAGAGGAATGCCACTTAGTACTAGCAGTCTCTTGACTGTCGAATCACGCAGGGTACTGATTTGTTTGTTGTATATCATGAAAATATACTCCGAGATAATTTCATACCATCCTAGTTCAGTACCCAGGTTGCCAATTGCATTGAGCAATGTAGAACCTTTTATACAATATGTTGCATATCTCAATAATATACACTTTTCATCAGGAGAGTCTTTCTACTTTAGCTTCTCTACAAGGAAGATTTAAATATGTTCCGAGCACTTTGATCTTCTGCTGTTGCATATTTTCAATAGTTGTTCCTGAGCTGGCTCGCTCAACATAGTCAACAAGGACAACAGACTGAGTGTAGAAAATGGTATACGGCTTCTTTATGCCCTTAGAAATTTACCTGTTGGTATTGTGCTCCCCTTGATCTCACTAGGGTATATATCATGCAGATTCAGCTTCGAAAAGGGTCTGTTCCACATCTCATGAACGTATTTTTTAGCAATTTATTCTTAATTTATTCTTGTTGGATTCGACCTTCTACAGAAGAAACTTTTAACACCATCTTCCTTCCGCTCTCATGTTAGTCTAGGCTTCTCGACATTTGAATAACTGTTGCATATCTAGGAAACATGCTTTCAGCCAACAAAATTCTCAAAAGTTTAGTAAAAGTTCTTAACCCAAAGCTTAATTGGTTTGCTATCAGCAGTCTGATTAGATCCTCTCCATGAATGAGGTGAAATGCGCACTAATGAGGCACTAGACCTCGGGTCCTCCACCTTATTGGGCGAATAGTCCAGCGTTGTGTTATGTTGCACTTCTATATTCAGAGCATGCAAGTACCACGTGGAAAAGACCACGAGGGAATTATTTTGAAAGGATACCACATAGATATCATACGTGATTCAAGCAGACGCTATATAAATAAAGTTGCATTCTGTTGCAAATCTGTGCATTCGAGTGCTACAAAAAGACTATGGATCACCCAATGAGAGATAGCTGGACGCTCCAATGTGGCGAATCTCACAGATTTTTCTAGAACTTTTGCTTTGGATAAAAGACTTTGAACGAATGAGAACAATTAGAGAGTTCATACAGGCTACTGTTGCACTTCTATTTCGCACGCGGAAGGGTAGTCCGGAAGCTCGCTCGATTAGCTCCTACAGTTTAGCGAGGACCTCGTGAGACATGGCTTTGTTGCAAGTCGGAATTCAGGGCAGCATGACCATTGCACGTTTAGACTCAGGGCACAGCTCTTGTTGTGGGGTCAAACACGTGGTAGTTATGTGCGCTATGCGTTCACACCAAACATCTAAGGTGAAGACTAAGATATCCATCTTTTTTGCATATCTGAATTCAGGGTATTCGGGTTCATTGCGGTGAGTTGACGGAAGAGTCATCTGATATTCGTTTTGTTGCGGATCTGAATTCAGGGCATAGGATTTTCCCGAGCACCATGGTGATATAGTCCCTGAATATCGTGTGTACCCTTAATACAGACCTGCAACATACAGCAAATTCGAAGCAATATTCGGTCGATCAGCGAGCATAGCTCAGGAATATTCGCGTGCCCTGAATTCAGACCTGCAACAAAACCACCTTCCAGCTAGTTAAGGCTGTCAAGAAACCATTAGAGCCCTTGCGAAGATCAGATGACCTCTATTTGTTGCAGGTCTGAATCTCGGCACGGCCCGAAAGTTGCGAAATCATCTCAACAATCTGACAAACGGTCATGAGCCACTAACATATTGACTTCCATGTGTATCTGTAATCCGGTTCTTCTAGTCCTAAACTCAAGCACTTCTGATAATCCCATCGAGCCTCTAGCTCAAGATTCCCGATTCTCTGAGGTGCTTCCGGAAATTGAAAAGATTTGTCTCTTCTGTGTGGTTGATCTCGCTTAATGTAGTCTAGTCTAATCTAGTATTAGCCCTCCGATTAAGTTGTTGATTCACTATTATATTAAGCGAACTTGAGCTTGGCGAAGCCGAAGAACAATATAATAGGTGCGGCTCTGTAAGTCTCTTGGCTACTATTTTATGCAACTTTGTGATTGAAGGCAAGTTCAAGTTAATTTAGTAATCGGTCATATACTAAAAGTATTACTTTCCACTAACCCATGCCACCAAATTCACATTTTTCTGATCGCTGGAATTGAGTTGTTTATCAAATGTTTTGACAATACCACACAGCAATAGGCGAGGCAGCGTCAGCAGAAGCTCTGTTGAGTACATCTACAGAGTTTCTTTTTTGTTACGTCTACGTACAGTGAGAGACATCGCCTCTCTGGCTACCACTATCGATCATTAACAAAATCAGAAGAGTGCCTTAGTTTGTGAGTTAGAACAGACATCTCTTCGTCTATGGCGTGAGATAGCATGGATTCGAATGCCTAGAGCGTCTTACGTATTATTGTATACCACCGTTCAAACTCAATCCCAGAATTCTCCCAATTATAGCCACTCGAGCATTCAAGCTATAATTATTATATAAAATGGTCGAAACTCAGAAAAGTCATTCATAATGGGTGGAAACCTAGATGTTCGAAAATAAATGATAAGAAAATGCCATGACTGTGAATCTACCTGAAAGGTAGTGCTAATGGCAGTGGCTCAGAGATTTACATCATTTCTAACGAATGAGGATATCTGAAAGGGACATGTGTTGATATTGCTGTATGTCTGAAAACGCTGAATGTGGAGAGTTGGTAGAAGTAATCTAGCACATTTTGCTCGAATTGCAAATTCCTTGAGGTATGGGTTTCTAGTGATTCCTTGTCGATCTTTGGATTCTACATATGATTCATCTATATACAAACCGTCTTGAAATAAAAGCCAGCCCTGTAGCGGCCAGAAGAACAAACATTCAGGGGCCTCGTGTATGCGAACTCTGAACAACAGCCTTTCCTTTAGTTGCACATCAGAGCACCTGAGTTCAAGATGTACGTCAGACTAAGAGATCTGTTGACAAATGGGCAATGAGAGATGTATGAAGCTTGATGTTTGTTGCATGTCTGAATATGAAGGGTCGAAATGTGTGGTTCAATATGTGTTACAACCCTAGAATAAACGAGAGTATTGAGAGCAGATTTTTGGAAGTTAGATGGTTGCGGAAAAGTATGAAGTTATTGCATGCCTGGGATTCAATGCTTGAAGATTTCGGTCGACCAAATGTTGCACTTGTTAAATTATACAAAGGAAATGTCAATGGCCTTGAGCGTCAGGTGGTCGAGAGGAAAGGGATTTTCTCAGAGTGTTGCACGTCTGAGAATAATGCGGCTATACTATGTCAGATAATCTGGAAACAAGTTCAAACCCCGCGAAATGTTGCATGTCTTGAAATTCTTCGGGTAGACTATTCAACATGAGTGGAAAATCGCGTAAGGAACTGATTGCTGGATACCTCAAATCGCAAATCCAAGATTAAGGTCCCGGAAGATTAGAATATAATCTACGAGACGGATTGATGGTAGTAGTTCCCAGAAGTATATGATTGGGAGACGATGTGATATTTACAGAATGTTGCACGTCTGGAATTCAACCGGGTAGACTATAAATGGTCCCCATGGGAGCTAAATGCTAGACCTCCCTTATTGTAGGACAAGCAATGATACTTTCGGTTGATTGTATTGATACTGGTAGACTAAGTGTCAGTATGAGTTTTTAACATTTCATGATTGGAGGAGGAGTAAACCTTACAGAACGTTGCATATCTGGAATCAACACGGGTAGACTATATTATAGATTTGTGAACAAGCAATTGTCTCAAGCGGTATGCAATTAGAAGGTACAATCTATAATCTGCTAGATGAATAGTCTGTTATGATATCCAGATATGAAACTCAATGAAGGTAAGCAGTTCAGCAGGAGATACGTCTAAACTAGCCGGATCAGGAGCGGACTTGATGTTTATGAGGGAATCACCAAGTGGAGAAAGTTTTCCGACAAAGGAAATTCAGTACGAATAATCTTTAAAGTGGAAAGATTGTTCTAGAATCACCAATATCCTCAATTCTAGAAGATGCATGAGTAGATCAGGTTGCAATATAGTTGGAGAGCTGCCAACTCTGCGTAATATAGATCATGTTCACGGAAAGCTAAATGATAGTTCAATAATGAAATAATAATTTCTGATTGTTAATACACAGGTACGAAGACCTAGTTTTCCTACTGTTCAGATCGTTGCAAAAGCTGAGTCATGATAGATCTCGATTCGCCAATGATTGGAAGAGTAGTAAAATGTGTTGCACGTCTGGAAAAATCTGCAATTTGGTAGTATATGCGAACGTAGTTACATCTAAACGCCAAGTACTCATTGCTCCTTTTTGGTTTCTTTTTGTGAGTGTAGTTTAGTACCGGTAAGTTATCCAGAGCCCAGAACATTGGAGTAAGTGAATAGTAGCGACTTTTGTATTCAGGGTTTTGCCAATCTAATGAATAAGGATTGATCTGCTGTAAATAATAAGGAGAAGAGAGTATATCGGTGGTCCACCAGCTATGTTATTAGGATTACATAAAATTACTACATAAGTCCACTTTTGACTCCCGGTCAACTCCAGCGGGTGTATATTCACACTTTCGGCCATAATCAATATATTGTGCAGACAGCGTTCACCATCCATTATCTCTTTGTCAATAGCACCAGAAGCAATCGATGGACTGATTTAGATCGTCGTGCGGAGAAATCTTAAGTTGCCAAGTTCTTCATTGGTATCTGTCTCATAACGCTGTTAGAGATCGGGACGATATGGCAAGTTTATGTACAGAATTCCAATACTGTTCAAAACACAAAGCCAAGTATCGGACTGTTTGTCTACAAAATTATCATTATTTGGATATCAGAAATTATGTACCGATATTCGGCCACTCTCCCTTTTTCAATTCCTCCCAAGTTGACAGATGTAGCTTCAGTGCTGTTATACTCTATCTTTCCGGGAAATAAACCTAAGTTGTACTTCTCCCTTCTCGCTGAGACCCAATTTTATCAATTTTCCTGATTGTCAAATTCACATATATAAGTTCAACAGGTACCTAATTAAGAATTCTTGTGAATATTACATTAATAGATTAACTGCTATAGCCAAATATCTTCCCCCGATAGAGACTTCCTTTCTTTAGAACTGTAACCATTAGGATCTACGTGAGTGTCAAATCGCCGCGATACAATAGGTGGGTCAGTGAGTGCAGCCAGCTTCCCAACATTAACTCCTTTGCTACATCAAATTTACAACTTCTCTGCGAAGATATTAGCGACATTATCTATATTATAACTCCTGCAATTCTCTTCCATCAGAATAGCTGCTTTATATCTCCTCTAACCTCCTTAAACTCGACTGATATATACTCGCCTTATCTTTTATCACACATTATTACTTCAGTACTTGCAGCCTCGATTGATATACATCTGTGCAGACTTCGATTTGCTTCCATGATGATGTTTCACAGTCCAGGATTGGAGAGTGCGCGTACCTGTGAAACCTTTCGATATCTCAACTACAGGCCCAATAAATGAAGATATTGAGATCTGCACATCCATTCATGTATCTACACTTTCATCTGGTGGTTGATGGGACGTCATGCGTGATTGAAAATAAAGTGTCAGCGATATCAACGGCTTTCAACCGAGGGGTAAAGCTCGGACTATTGCTAAAGCTAGAAGTTTGACTCATGACTAGTTGACGTCTCGGACCAGATATAGGCAGGCGCCCTTGATTCTTGCTGCCTTCTCACTTCTGACCCCTTACCATGCACTCCATGTCTCATCTCACAGTACGACGCATTGCAGAGATTTTGGTAGCAATTGTGAGGGATGTTACCGGAGTTTAGATTGACCCAATTAGTGCTTGGTCCCACGACTTCCCTTCCTTTCAATTCCATTTATTTTGGCGTCGTCAAGGATAATGACTTTCCAGAGTCTGTTATGAATGTTCCAGTGTTCTGTTCATTTGACAATGGGAACATATTCTCAAACGCCTTGTTAACTCGCATGATGTATGCCACCGCTTCTTTTAATGTTGTTGTGATGCTATTGCTTGGTGGTATGAAATCAGGATCATCATCCTCGACTTGTTCAACTCCCTCAAAGTTTAAGAATATAGCAAGTCCATCCTTGATACCAGTTCTCATCAACAACACTTTTCGTTCGGCGGCCGGCACAGCGTTTTTGCACTCTCTCATAATGATAATCACACTTCGGAACAAGGTTGTGATTCTATAGTCTTTTGAATCATTTTGATCTTCCGTTTCTGGTGCTGGATCGTGCCCCCGTAGTTGAGCAATTCGGAGGTTCCCTTTACTTTTTTGGCTCAAAATATGATCCTTTGAGGGGCCATCAAACATTCTGCAGAAATTGTTATGGAGTTCAAGGCATTTATCAATTTTATGCGACGGCGACATAACCACTATTTTGGCAAAAAAGCGCTGGAAAGTGATATCTTTGTTGTGAATATTTCCTTCGAACCATTGCTCTGATATATATCGGTGGACGGATGGTATGGTTGTTTTGTTTGGGGTTGTGTCTTTGAGAAAGAAGATGCTGGTACATTTATTGGTTACGTCTCTAAGGTCGCCAGGTTGAATGAGACTGAAGTCGCTCACAAAGGTGTGAGGATTCTCTACATTTGCAAGATGGATCTCATATTTGAATACGAATTCCTCATACATTCGACGGTTGTATAGGAGTTCTTCCTCGTTTTAGGGTTGCGGATGAATCCTCGCAATTCACGAACGGTTGGTTCCATATTTTGCCCCTTTTCAATTTTCTGGGTGAGCGGAGCAGCTGAGTGTCAGAATTTTGAAGACCCTTGAACTTTTTCTGAAGAGAATTTTTGTAAATTCACAAAAAAAATTGTGTGTGATGTATACGTGTCCGTAGCTAGAGCTTTAGTACTAGTATGAGACTACCAGTGCTAGTTATGGCCTTGGATTTTCCGATCCGCGGGAGTATAGTTCCACCATCATGAGAATTCCAGTTATTCTTATCTTAATATCCACATGAAATATGTCCAAATTCCCAAAATAATTGATTTCTAACTATAATATTAGGTCAAGGAGTATTCGAATGATCTGCTATCGGACATCGAAGCATTGAAATAACTGACACTCCAGAATTCAGATGAATTACGATGATCTGGGACTGTCATTTGAATCAACTCAACTCTTGAGAATTCCGAAGGGTATCATTCGGATGGGGTTCGTAGGTTACGGTCTGAATGTGTTCTGAAGCAAGCCTGAGTATGGATACCTCCATCCCAACAAACCTGAGATATCATGATGTCAGACTCGAGACTCTTTCCACAAGATCAAAGTCCAATACCTGTAGATATCACATTACAGTAACTGGGAGTTGACATAACAAGAGATATTGGAAGAGCATTACGTTTTACTGCGGATGAGAGAAAGGAACTCTGATTTGTGGCAACGATGAAACACAAATTTTCGGCAAGAGATGGAATAACTTCTATTCTATGATGTTAGTTATGCCATAACGCTGCACAATCATCGTGTATTCTAGCATTTTGCACTGGAATAATCACTATAACTCCTGATATATTAACCAGAATTCCATGAGCATTCTGGTACCATTCTAATGCAAACGATGGATTTCAAAGCTTCTTAGTAATCTTCACAGAAAACTTTCAAACTCACTATATTCACTATTTTGAGCAATACCCATGAATAACCCCTACTATCATGTTCTCAATCTCGACCTCATTATTTAAGGGCCACTAGAAGCTGAAAGAGAGTTGAGACAGATACCCCATATGGTCAGAAGAGGAAGAGATAATGCTCTTGCTTACATCATTACTTGAGTAAAACCACTGGTGTTGATGCGTTCACCCTGCTTCTTACAACTGTTAGTTCAAGGCATAAGACGAATAAATGAGACTCGGAAAAGACTAGACCGACAAAGAAGTAGTGTTTTCGACAGTAACTTGAGTATCAGAGCTCATAAATGTAGAGAAATTCTGTGAAGAAGCGCTCGCTTCCACCCCCTCTTAATGGGTCTTCTCAAAGACAGCTTGCGAAGCTGGAAGACATGAAATGATGGAGACGTTGTAGGAACATGCGATAGCGTTAATCAAAGTCAAGCTGAAGAGTATTGAACATAGAGAGCTTTGCGAAAGAATTTAAAATCTCAATCCGTGTGGATTCTTGAATCCTACAGAGATTCACTAGAAGCACATACATCTTGATCTGACTCAAAAATCAACCCAATAGGATCCACGGTATGTAGAATTCCTCAAGAACTATAAAGGGATCTATTTACCATCAATGCTTCCCAATACCACCCGACTTTGTTGGAAAAGTCTACCCGGATAGGTCTCGCAGGAAAATCACACCAGTTCATCTGTTCATGATCTGTTTTACATGAGGCAAGTACTTTGTGATCGTGTTCGAGCAGGTTAAGTGGATTATTCACTTGCGTATAGAGAGTGGTCGTGTTCGCTGCCAATGATTCCTCAATGGCATAGGAAGCAAGAACAAAAACTACCGAAATGAATAACGGAAATTACAAATGTATGATTTCACCGTGGATATCTGATCCAACAAGTTCATGAATAGAAAATGACAGAATAAGAGAAGTTATTTCAACTTACTTTCGGAGATGACTCAAAGCCTCAAGTCCCATGGTTTCAACTAGCCTGGAATTTGGAGAATGCTGGCGAAGACAATACTTTATATACTTAGCCTATCATAAGAAACGCATGCTCGCTCCAATACTTCGATTCACTCTATGATCACAGACATTGCCAAGCTCGAGATATCTGTGGATCTCCAATATTCACCACCAAGGTACCAGATATTCAGAGAATTTTGTAGCTCGCGTTGACATAAGACCGCGTACACTCTGGGTGAACTTTCTGAGCAACAAGAAGTCGAGCTACGCGAAATATAGCAAAATGTTCCGATGTATCAGGATAGATTGTTATGGAGAAGACTCTATTCTGCGGCTATGATCTGGTTGACTAGATGTCAGGTGGAGGGTTGGCAAGTTTCTCTTTTGCTGTCGTCCGAACACTTGTCATAACACTGTCATCTATTATTTGCATCATAATTTGCCGTCACCTTAAAGAAGGAGAATCACCTCTGTGTTTCCGATTACTTCATCGTACATTTTGGAGTCCACAAATATTCCACGCCAAAAAACGTCACCAACAAACTCGGGACTACCTGTTGTGAAAATTGTTGTTGCTTGAGGATGCTGAAGAAGCAATAATGTGCGGGAGAAATCTCTTATATATTGGACAGCCATAAGATCTCTTCTTGACCAGTAGCTTTTGATATAACTAGGGAATAGGAAATTATACGGATGATTTAAGGCAATTGATAAATATGAAAACGAAGGGATTGGAAGAGAATGATGCTACTGGGCATACTCACGGGATCTACACATGGAAGACCTATAGCCATAGAACCTGAAGTGGATCAATTAAAACCTCCACCCCAGCTCGAATATATAAAGCTTCCACGCAGCATTTTGAGGCGTTAAGGGCCGCTTCAGAACTACTCGGATGCAGCAGCATATGATTAAGATAGAGGTATAGAAATGGAAGAACGGAAATCATCTCACCACATCCAACGATGAATCTCATCTTCCCATCTTAACTTGAGACTTTCATCTTGAAAACTACTTCTTGCCGTCATTTCTCACTACTATTCATTGTCAGATATCTACATATTCTCCTAAATATTTCCGACGAGAATCCTTTTCGGCGAAAATTAGATACATTCGACAGTCATTGAATTGGTACTCCATACCTTTGATCTTCCAAAGCCAACAGTATCAGACATCTCAACCTTTCAAATCACACTTACAATATAACCAAACTCCGAAATTCCACGCAACTGGAGAAACATGTAATCCTTGTCTCATGAATGAGTAACAATGATATTATTTTTAGTGCAGAGAGTGCTCTTTATGTACGCAAATCTGAATCAAATTGTAGCTGAATATGTTATTCACTTCTAGGATACACCTGTCATCTCCAGCTGCTATGTTCTTTTTTTTGATGATCTAGTTAATTATCTAGTTAGGTATGTGAGGAAAAGAGTTAGAATTAGTAAATCCACACTCTATTCACGCTTTTCACGAAGGAGAGTTGGACCCTCATGCACATCGTTGAGTTCAACAGAAGTATCTCCAGATTCAAAGAAGTTTCTATTGTAACATCAATTCACTACAGAGTATCTTCTCTGTAGTCAGTAACTCGGGACATGACTACCCAGCCATATAAAGAAACGACCAGATGATTTCTTACTATCAAGCATCAAGGAACACTAAGAGAATCAAGGTTCAAGGACTGGAGCTACTCCCCTGCGAAAAAGCCTCCTTGCCCCCTTTGGAGAGAGAAGAGTAGGAATGTGATCCGAAGATAACCGATCAGGGTTTCAACCTTTACACGATTCTTCGACAAGAATGAAATCAGATCTCGTCGATTTTCTTTGTATTGTCATTCGGTTTCTTCATCACGAATGACAATGACTAGGTACTAGTACATTCAACAACAAACAACAACGGGAGATATCACCGAATAGTTTTTCATCAACTAAGAATCAAGTCAAAAAGCACGAGCCGCAAATCTTATAATTTGAAAGTGCCAGGATGAGATAACATTCAGGTTCTATTCCGAGATCCATAGTTTGACTCCTTGCTGCTGCATCTGCTCTGTTTAAGTTGATTGGACGAAGATCCTTCCAGTTTTAAAGACGTGGATATATACTCCTCTTCTTTAAATTCCCAAATTCCTCGTGATACAGACATAAGGAATTCTATAGTATGAATCAAAGGCCCCGTAAGCTAACTGATATATAACCAGCGCGGAGATCCATTCTCGCTACCAGTGTCAGGAGTATATAAGATACCCATATAGATATCCTCCAACCTATCAAAAAGAAAATCAGCCGGTGCATGATCCATGGGCAAAGGGAATCAACTAGGGAGATTCTAGAAAATTTCCAGATATGCATGAAACGTGGAGGAGGTTCTGGAAAGCTCTAAATTTGATGCAACTATGCTGATTTCTCCATTTTCAAGTCTATTTTTCTATCTTATGTGGAATAAGTATACTTCACACCCAACTCGTCAAGGATTTTCACTGTCATTTGTCCTGTTTCATTTCATCCCATCCCATTTGACTTTCACTATCATTACTCATTCCTCACTCCCAATCCCTCTCACACAAATTGCAATTCCCTTCACCAAGCCTCCTCTCACCTTCAGCTCAATATCCTAACGAAAAGATACCCACGGCAAATTTAACCAGATGTACAAATATCTCCACGAGACCCAGCACCTCTTTCCTCCAGGTCTTGGGCCATGATGATATGATTTTAAGTTATTCCTTAAATAGCATCACCTCAGATTTCCTGTTGTCCCCATTATACTATCAACGCATCGAGCGCCGTGAGTCTAGTTTCATCCACTAGTGATTTATTTAAAGGATACATTTTCGATATCATAACTCTCACGTAGAACGTACAATAAACGCGCCCAGAAAATAGCAGTAGGGAATACTAAAGTTAAGAAAGATAGCAGGTCAAACTACCGAGAATTAATTGTTATCTCAACCATATCCCCTTGCTTAAGTTTCTCATTCTCAGTTTGATCGTTAAAATTTCAATAGAAAGAAAGGATTATAGTCCTTCTACTGTCGCCAATATCATCTCATCATTCGATTCCACGAGTTTCTCTCCACACAGCGCCGTGAAACATGATGTCTGTAATGTACAACTACCTATCTTATAACCTCAAACAACTTTACAAATAACAATCAATACCCAGCAATCAATCCAGACAAAGAACATTCCACAATTCAACAGAACCCATAGTTTTCACCACCTTCGTCGAGCCTAACTAATACCAACTATTCACAACCACCTTACCTTTCCCTCTTCTCCCTCTTCTTCCCTATTGAAGTACCTAGTAGTAAAGTAGGTAGTACAAACCCTCAGCCCACCACTCATCCATAAAATCATCGTATATAAAACACAGACTCCTAACCTCGGTTCCTCTATGATAGTTGATAGTTCGCTACCCCCTAAAATTCAAATCACCTGTCCAAAAACCTCCCATACAAATAACGAGTATAAAATCCCCCGATTCACAAATCCATAAATCCCATCTTCGATTTAATCGTCCTACTTACCCTACCTATCCTATCCATCACCCCATACTATACCACACCCTCATACCAAACCACCAAACCAAATCCTAAATCCCCACACCCCTTATGTCATTACCCGAGACCCTCCCCTCCAGCAAACCAACAGATATCACACCATACCATACCACATCACACCACATCAATACACAAGGCCCTGATTTCCCCAACTTTCCAGTTCGTGTTACGCTATGCTGTCCTATCCTTCCTATCCTTCCTGTGCTACCTAACCATCCATCCATCCATCCATCTCCATGCAACCTCCCGAACACGAACGAGCGAGCGAGCGAGCGAACAAGCGAATAAGCACGCCATATTATTTCTCCTTCTTCATTTTAGCGATTTTTGATATCTTTACTCTCCCCTCTGTCTTTTCCTCAAGTATTACAAGTATCATAACCATAAGTATTCGCATACAATCAGATTCTTTACAATTTTCTTCTCTATATTCATATTCCCTTATACAGACATCATCACTCACCCACGCACCCACGCACCCACCCATTCAATCACATGGAATGACATCCTTATCCCATCCTAATTACATCCTCACCCACACCCACCATTCCCTCTCTCCCCCATAAAATCCACCAAATATGCAGTACAACCGCCCACCCCATCACACACACAAAACCGAAACCGACCCACGAACCGAGTTTTCATGTCTCATCCTCACCCCTCTCCCCCTACCTACCACCCAAAAAAGTCCCTCTACAGTACAACCCCCAAACTCCTAGTCCATAACCCTTTCATACAGCCAACTAACCAGCTAACTTTGCATCTATCCCATAACTGCTTATCACTTCTCAGTACAAAACTCATAAATTATCAATCATCACCATCACACAAACCAAACAAACCCGAACAAAACCAACGCGAACGAAACCCAAACAAAATAAAACACAGTTCACATCACAGAACACCACATAATTCACCATTCAGACTAACCCTAGAAGATGGAGTAAAGAGGATTAATCCCAAGAACCATGAGGAGGCAGGGAGGGAAGGGCGAAGACGAAAATAAGATAAGTATCAGAAGAAGATTTAGTAAATGGATAGGTAGGTAAACAGATACAAATATATATCTAATAAATGTCAAGAACTCTCTTTCTCTCCTCCTCTCTTCTCTCCCCTCTCTCCTCTCTCTATAGATACACTATAGATACACCAAAATACAGAACAGAAAAGAAAGAGCATAGAAATGCTTCCTCTTTCCTTCCCTCCCTCTCTCTCTCTCTTCTCTCCCCATCTCCCCATCTGCCCACCCTATAAACTTCATCCATCCATTCCATCCCATCCCATCCCATCCCATCATACACACACACACATACATATACACATATATACAATATACCCACAAACTAAAAGTATAAATATAAATAAAATCAGTATTGTGAAATAGAACACAACATAATATACTATAATATAACACAACACAACACAACACGACATAACACGACATAACACGACATAGTACGACCTCGCATGGCATAACACAGCACAGCATAGCATAGCATAGCATGAACCACTCCATGAATGACCATACCCGGTTTGAAGTATTAAGATATGTTCTGATGACATACATACATACCTACATACATACATACATACATACATACATACATACATACATACATACATACATACATACATACATACATACATACATACATACATACATACATACATACATACATACATGTATGCATGATATCTTCTATCCAGACATCATCACGTAAACATCCAAGTTACTTCCAATAGAAAAAGATACACATAACACAAATGAGATCAAGTAAAGTTATTATAATTGTTGATACGTTCAATAGATAAACATCTCTATCCTCCGAGTCTCCATTCCATCCCTATATAGAAAAACCACTTGAGTGTAACCCATCTTATCCCATTCCATATATCCCATCCCAAACTCCTAACAAATACCCCGCAATCCCGCAATCCCATCCAAGAACTATGTCCATTTAAATCTCTCTTAACGCCATCTATGCCTATTCCCATATTCATACACACACCAACTGAAGAAGCATTATCCCCAATAACACCCAAGGTACAAACCATAACAGATATCCCACACTATCTCACCGACACCTCAAAAAACAATTCCACCTTGTAGCCTTAGTGTGGCGTCGCGTAGCCCCCACTTCTCCGCCTCACTCCAAATCACCACTTATCCCCCTTATTATTCTACTCAACGACGAATTACCGATGTTCGCAATTTCTCTCTTTTCTCATGACGTGCAGAATGATAATCACACTCTCTACCTTCACCTGCCCTCGGTTCTGCAGAATCATAGTGTTTGTGACTGTCTCCATGATTGATGACATGAGTATATCCACTTCTTGATGTTTTTCCTTCAATATATTTCTTTTCTAAATTGGGAGAAATCTGTTAGTTACATGTATATAATGAGAGAAAAAATAGTAAAGGTATCTACATACCTGCAGCAGAATCTCTATATTTCACACTTTGTTCTCCACCACTTCCTCTAGATCCATAACCTTGTCCACTGCTTGATGAACGTCCCGACATATTTGAGTTTGATCCGGTGTAATAATCAGATGAACGAGTTTCGTACGAGTATTGTGAGTCTCTTGGGGAAGATTCCCGATGATGTATGATAGTATCTCTTTGTGTGTATGTGTATCCACGAGAATCAGAGCATGACATTTAAGTTCCTCGGATAGGTACTCTCGGAATATTTATGTGCTTGATGTGCGAGGCGAAAGGTTTGATTTTACTGTATCGTAAAAGGGCGTCTAGCGCGTATGAGGTATATAGGGCGTAGAATGGAGTATTGTAATATTGTAGTATTGTTTCAAATTCCGTATAATCAAACTAATAGTTAATCTTAACCAAATGAAAAAGTAAACAAAAAGAGAAACATCATACTTATTATAGGGCAAGAGAAACAGAGAAATTGACTAATGAAATCATTCACTTGTTACCTGTTGTACACAGCAGCTCTCCAAATAAGGCAAAACCATTGACAGAAAAGCCCAACAAGGACATTGCCCACTCTACCTGTTCAGGACGGAGACAGGTTGAACCATCTAACCAATGGGTGGCTGCCTTTGGATGTGTTATTTGACTCAAAACGGTCAATTCAATCCAATGAGTCACAAGCTAATGGACAATAGCACTTCGGTGAATGATTGCATCCAAGTACAATAAGAAAAATCGAGGTTAGGTGGTGACGTCGACCTTGAAGCTCGGATATGGAATCAGGTGAAAGGGGAAATGAAAGTAACTAAGCTTAAGGCTCCCGCCGGTGGAGCAGTCATGATCGGGAAGTGGAAACGAGGTATTTCCCATGATCCGGTGCTTTGTTTGACACAGCCCATAAGAAGTGATCGAATGTAGAAAGAATGTAGAAAGTACGTGGAGGCACTGGTGAAGAAGCTTGGAAGTACGAGAGAGCACAGCCATCCGTTTCCTTCGGATCCCTCCCTCATTTTCCCTTTGTGGCTTTCTCTCGGGCATTTTTTTTTGAAACAGGCAGGAAAGACAAACAAGACGGATGGAAAGACGCGGAAAGTTTTGGATTGTCGAACGATACGAGAGATGATGTATGTGACTGATGATGGAATGATTGAATGATTGTATTAATGGTATTTAATTGTTGCCTTGAATGAATTCGATTTGATTGTTTTCGAGGCTTCCATGTCTTCAGCTGAGGTGAGCTTTCTTAATTCGTTTTTGCCTAGGGACCCAGGTATTTCGTTTGATATCGATAAGACTATGAGTCAAATATTGAGTCTGGGGTCTTTCTTTGTATGACTGATTGATGGTGGATTGACTGTAGATTGAATTACGCAGATGAATAGCATCGGCATTGCCATCTTTTTCTCGGTGTAAGGATGTGTAGATAGATATGTACCTACCTACCTACCTACCTATGGATGGATTAACTCGTGATGAGATATTGTATACTAGGTATAGACCAAGGCAGAAAGAGCTGAGGCATACAGAGCTTTCGAGTATCTTTTCGGTGAACATGCCATGATGGTAGGAATTCTGGTTGAAAATTGACAAACAAACAAGCAAGCAAATAATTCAATAATTAACCATCTCATCGTGAAGAGAAGTCGAGGTAACAATAACAATGATGTTGTTCAAGAAATGGAAAGATGGAGGGAGGGGAAAATAAAAATTCAATAAAATCCCATAAGTGTGGTGGTGTGAGAGGATTCATGTGATTTATGGAATTGTATGTACTGTAGGTGTAGTCATCCATCATCCATCATCCATCATTGATCCATCTGATTGGCTAATACACACTTGAGCCGAGAGAGCTTCATGCGGGACAAGGCTTCATCCAAATTCACCCATTCACCCCATTCACATCCTCAACTCTCAACGTGTCCAATACTTCTTTGTTTTACAATCAAATATATCTTCATAAATTTCAATCCATCAACAATCAATTGATCAAATTAATCAATTGTCACTACAATACAATACAATACAATACAATCCCTTCAATATGCGTCTCTCAACAATTTCCCTCCTTGCTCTCACTTCCTCGGTCCTCGCTGCCGAAGTTAAGATTGATGTCACCAGAGCTGTCGAATGTGAGCGCAAGACGCAAAAGGGTGATAAGATTCACGTTCATTATCGAGGAAATCTTGAGGAAGATGGAAAGGTGGGAAAAGAGTTCGATGCTTCCTACAACCGTGGATCTCCATTGAGTTTTGTGGTCGGAAAGGGTAGTGTTATTAAAGGGTATGTACTTTTTACTCACTGGAAGTCATGGAGATGAGAAGCATATGCATGGAAATACTAACGATTGATCTTGTAGATGGGATGATAATCTTCTCGATATGTGTATTGGTGAAAAGAGAGTTCTTACCATTCCTCCCGAGTTTGGTTATGGTGATAGAGCTATGGGTCCAATTCCAGCCAAGAGTACATTGAGTGAGTAAATTCTCATTTTTATGCCAAATATCCCTTTCAAGAACATCTCTCATTGAATTTCTCTACCCCTATCCTTCTATCTAAGATTCCCACTTGCCAAATATACAAAACTAATCTTTCCTCACCCACTAGTCTTCGAAACCGAACTCATGGGAATTGACGGTGTCCCCAAACCCGAAACTATTATTGAAAAGACCTCCTCATCCGATGCAGTCGATAGCGCCACCGATAGCGCATCATCACTCTCGGATGAAGCTACCGAAAAAGCTACCGAAGCAGCAACAGGAGGTGTGAAAAGTGTCATTTCCGAAGCCGCAGAGGCGGTCAAGACGGCTCTTGCTGATTCTGATGGTGATGGACAGGAGCACAACGAGTTGTAGATGACTCAATTGATGGAAAGGAAAATGGAAATGGAAATGCCCAAAGGGTTTTAAAACATGGTCATGAAGCCCCGCATAGTAATAGTCATGAGTTGTGAGGATGGCTTATGGATTGCTAGTGGAAGGTGATTATGTGGGAGATTGAATGTGGATAGTATGTGATTGAATCACCGGAAAAATATATGGCAGAGAAGTGAAAAGGGATCCAATGGGTGATCAACTTATTTCTTCCAATTATGTTTATATGAAAATAAGTATTCTCAAAATCGAACATATGAATATCTCATAGCCCATTTTCGATGCTATACTATGTGATTTATTCCTGCCTTTAAGATTCGTTAACATATATTCATATACATACATATGCTCAAAAGCTATATGTCACTATCACAATTAGTTTGTGATATTACATTATCTCATCTCATCTCACTAGGTATCTCATATGATATATCAACCACTAAATGATCATTCAACCCATGGGTATGGATTAGCAGCTATCAAAATTCGAGTATTTGAATCTCTGAATCTTTGAATCTCTAAGGCTTTGAGATGCAGTGAGGTGTTTGGGTATGATTGGCTGGTATGGCTATCTTTAGTGAGAATGATGTTTTTTTGAATGGAGGATGGGGAATAGAGAGGGGGGATAGAGATATTGATTTTATATTTGGGGGAGGAAGATGATTGAATAGTGAGATGGAGAGAGATGGAGAGAGATGGAGAGAGATGGAGAGAGATGGAGAGAGATGGAGAGAGATGGAGAGAGATGGAGAGAGATGGAGAAAGAAATAGTAAGATCGATGAGAGAATATCATATCTGAAAGAGAGGGAAGAGGTAGCTGGATAGAGGGCGTTGAATAATATAGTAAAATAAATAGAAAGATATTGTAGGTGAGGGTGGATGAATGGATGATTGAATAATGAAGCGAGATTGTTAAGGGGCGGATGGTAGAATGTATAGGGATGGATGTTTAAATAGAGGAAAAGAGATAAGAAGGAGCGATTTTGAGGAGTTTTGGGATTGGAGATTGGAGATAGAGAAAGAAGGGAGAGAGTTTTTGATATTGATGGTGTTGAAAATGTGGTGTTGAATAGAAGATGATGGGTTGGGTATGGTATGATGTGATATGGAGACTGGTGGGATGGGGGATAGAATGATAGAAGGTGGAAACTTGGAAGTGGATGGGTGATAAGATGATGAGATGGACAGTGAAATGGAGAAATATCTAAGGAGAAGGAATAGATAGACATGAATGTGGTTTTGAGAAAGGGGTGAATAATTGAGTAGTAGAAGAAACAAAAAGAGTTGTGATTCGAGAGATAGTGTAATGTTGAGATGATTGGATATATAAAGGACGGGGTGAATGGTGCAATGGTGCAATGGTGTAAGATATATCGAAATGGTATGATATGTAAAGGAAGAGTAGAATCCTTTAATGATGTAATATACATTGAGAAGACGGATGAACGCTTACCTCGAAAATAGGGGGGTGGACGGGCTTTGCAGGAATGTATGTATGTGTATAGGGTAGATAAGAGTCTGAAGCGGATGGAGATGAAGTCAAAGGGTCTAGATGTGGTAGGCTGGAGATGGTCGTGGATTCATAGATACAGATACAGAAAGAATTGTAAATGGTTCCAACCTTGGATCATATCAGGATAGAAGAAGTTGAGTAGATAAGTCAAGATTGGCGATAGCGGGAGGGGGAGGGGGATTTCTCCTAGGGTTATCTGTCTTGTGCCAGCTAGATCTTGAAATTTATATTATATATCGTCGTAAGAAATACTATTCTTTAATCTTTTGCATTCAAAACGGGTATTCAGTATAATCTGAAATAATGAGGACTAGGTAGTGATAGATTGTACCCATGGTCATCTATCTGTTGGTGATTTTATTGATATACTCGTATCGGAACCGAAGACAGAAATACTCCATCTTTAAGGCTAGATAGCAGATAGCTAGATACCTAGCTAGGGTAATATACCTTGTATGCAAATATATCTATCAACATGTCGAAATATACATCAATATGTCAAATACAAAATTCAAGCTAACTAACACTTCTCAAACAATAACAGAATATTCGACTTTCTGGTCGCCGACCAAGTAGGGTGGGGATGAGTGTTTGATTCAAAAGAAAGCTCACCTCCCATTTCAATAATGGCAGGGCTCATCTCATACTACCAAACGTATACCCCATCTTTCGAATGTATGATGAAATTGATATGAATATAAGTGCCATGTAAAGCAAACGAAGTGACTCTACAACCATGTCATTTCGTCTGATATCGATGAAAATATTCACATTTGAATATTTCATCGATAGAGAGATACCTAGTAGGTATCCAAGCTTCATACATACTGCACACACAGACTTCAGCTGTCTCTTGAGAGATCCATATCTAGATCGATATCCACACAAACCCGTGTTTGATACACGCGAACGGAGCTATCCCCGTAGTCATTTCATGCAAGATCCATATCTGAGATCTCGGAACACAGACTGTCATCCGTACAGTGTCCACTGCACAGGAGGCCGAAATACCAAGATCGATCCACCCTCGCGCAGAAGCAAAAGCAAATAACCAGAAACATCGACGCACGCGTGGAGAAATCGACTCCATAAATAAGATAACACCATAGATGTATGCGTATGACTGATACCCACCTCGGCGCATACACTTGATGTGCTGTGTGTGCTCTAGTATCCACAATCTCATATTCTAACCGTATACCCCAGTTCTCGGAAGCACTTATCTTGGTACTTACTATACCTGGTGAGTTAAAGCATGTGATTCGTTCTATTCTTGTCACATTTGTCTTTCGTCCGTCTTCATTGGACTTCGTAGATCAATCATTTCTTTTGGAGATGGTCTAGATGTGGATGAAGGTGGAAGGACACATGATCTACACACCCTGCCGGTCCCGCATCTTGGTGACGCCTTTGGTGATGTACAGTGAGATGTAAGATACGCCCAGTGGGAGGGTGCCGGTATCAATATATTTACATCATTATCAACACCATCATCAACGCCATCATCAACGCCATCATCAACGCCATCATCAACGCCATCATCAACACCATCATCAACGGTATCAGCAATATTAGACAGGTGATATGACAAGGGAGTAGAATGTTAACTGTAACACCCACCCTCTAGACCCGAAGGCTTTTTGAAACGTAGATACCCTAAAATCCAATCAGGATTGAATGGCGGATATATTCACCAACCAATGAATATCTAATCAGCCGCATAGTAATCTTACATTTACTATGTTTTGTTTGTCTGGAACTCCACACATGGTAATCTTACATTTACCATGTTTTGTTTGTCTGGAACTCCACGCATGGTAATCTTACATTACCATGCTGTGTTTAGAACTCCATGCATGGCCGTCTTACATCACCATACCGCGTTGGGAACCCCATGGTGAGGTCTGTCTCGGTCTGGCCGTCTAGTACATGATTACTATACGAAGTGCTCGTGTATACTCAATATTACCTAAAGAAGCAACCAGCCCCGTCTCCGCACCTCTTTGCATCTCTCTGCACCTCGTTGTAAATCGTGAGAGAATGAGAACTACCGTTCTCCACAACAGTGAAGTCATAACGGTACATTCCTCGGTAGGTACCACATGCTAGGTAGATAGACTCGGTAGGTAGATAGGCAAAAGATGAGATATTTACCACCCCTCTTAGCACCGGAGGTTCATGAAACATCGCTCATAACTCACGATCCAAGCTCTCTAGATCTCTTGTTCATAAAACACAGATCTCGACCAAGACTCCCTAGGATCTTCAGAATTACCCAAAGAGGTACGCAACTCCGTCTCTGCATATCCATCCCCCCGAACTATCTAGGTACCGTTCTCCACCTCGTTCCCGGTACTCCTAAGTGACATCTCTAAATATCTTCAAAATTACCTTGATGGGTAGTCAGCTCCGTCATCACCACCTTCCCTTTGCCCAGCCGATATCCGAGAGCTCGTGACACACACCGTATCCAT